ATCCGTGTGCCATTTCCCTCCCCACATGGTCCCAGCTCCAATGGGTCTGTCAGCATGTGGTCCAGAGAATCCATTCTTTACTGTACTCTCAGTCCCTGAACAAAAGAAACTATTATCTGCTGGCATAAACTTGCCAACAACAAAGTCCAAAATTCTCAGATACAACTGAAGGTGTCTTTGCTTTTTAGAAGGTACAATTTGATGAAGAAATTGTTGTAACAGAATCCATTCAAGTTCCACAGAATTGTGTAACTGTGCCATGTGAATTTACTAAACAGTGAAATAGACAATGCAGATCTGATAGAAGTACTAGGGACTATCACTCTTTCAGGTGACACGCCTGCACACAAACATACACAGAGTATATATAAAGAACACTAGGGAAACAGAAATGGACATTTGCTGATTAAAAACCATAGTTTTAAATTTTTCTTACTTGTTCCACTTACAACACTACCAATTGTTTGCATTCTTAATAATTTACTTTTCACTATATATGCAATTTATATTTTGCCTGTCACTAAACTTTATTATTAAAGACTGGCCTGGTCAGTTTCACTTTGAGTCTTATGCACTACATCATTGCTGCAATATTTGGGATGAAACACTCTTACAACATGGTTTATGGTGCATGCTCAGAAGCCTCACAACCCAGGATTCTGAAGAGGGTGAAACCTGTAAGTAGAGTAATGCAAACTACAAGAAATAGAAAAACCCAAGACAAGGGGATAGATGACAAGTGTATAAACAATCATGAAGAAAGAGCTACTGGAATTAGAGGGTGTTGCCTGCTGAGCAAACCAGACCTCAGGCTACAGGTCTGCAAAGATACTTCATGGCTCTGACCAGATGCGAGACCTGTAAATATACTCCCTTTATTTTCCTTAGCAGCCTGAAGCTTTCTTACAAGTGAGTTAAAGATTACTCTCATGCCTCCACTCTTGAGCTCTCTGCCACCACGCAAAACATGCCACAATAAGTAGCATTATAACATTAAAGAATTCACAACTTTGCTTCTGTGGTTGTGACTTCAATACGCCATCTACAAAGGGCCAACTACTCAGCAGCATCAGGCTTGCCCAAACAACAAAGATTAAGCCATTCATTAATTTGCCCTACATGTGAATCCTTATTCATGTTCAGCCACTGGAATACTGAATGTAATCAATTTTGAAATCTCATTTCTATTCCAAGCTTTAGTGCAGTTTGGTTCAATATATCAGAGGGGATGAGTCCCTTTTCAGAATTAAATTGGTTCAGAGGAGGAATTACCTCTTGCCTCCAGAAAGCGTGGACACTCTAGCCAAGGATTAAGAACATTAGAGAAGCGGATTTAAAGTATATGAACTGAAGTCGTCTCAAATGTACCTGATCTGTGAATAAAACAAGAGATTGAACTTTAATCAATAAGAGTAGAAAAATGGGAATACATGTTTACTTTTTTAAAATTAAAAACACAAGTTCTAGGGCTTTTAGCCTTATAAATAATCTGGTTAAACCATGTGAATTCATCATAAATTGGAGAACAGACAACTACATTGCCAATAAAGACAATTATAATCCAATACTGTCAACTAGCATTTCAATGGGGTTTATAAAATATGCTCTATAAATTCTATGAGGTATGGGAAGTCATACTAGCTAAATGAATAAATATATGCAGATATACGTATCTCATAGAACTGGAAGGGACCTTGAAAGGTCATTGAGTCCAGTCCCCTGCTTTCACTAGCAGGACCAAGTACTGATTTTGCCCCAGATCCCTAAGTGGCCTCCTCAA